CAACCACCGGTTGTGCGATGCGGACTGTGAGGGCACAGTGGTGGGGGGATAATCGGCAAAATCCAGAGCATCAGATTGGCAGGATCCACGCTGTAGTGGCTGCAAGTACGTGTTTCCAATCAAATCCGGAAGGGTAACTGGCAGCAGAAACCGGGGACGCCTCCAGACGAGTCGGGGGATCTCCGATCTGTAGGCTCGTCTGATGTGTACCTGGATGCCGGCCCTACAGCCTCTTTTCCTCGATTTCTTCTTGGAATTGCTTAGGGCACGTTTCGCCGGTAGCAAGAAGTAATCCGGTGAGGTGGAAGAGTGCACAAATGGTGGGGGGAAAGTTTTTCTATAACTGTCCCAGTCATCATAAAGACGTTCCATAGAGTCTTTGATGTGGAGCAAGGAAGAACGGTCGTAAATCACAGCAGCATAGCTCCATATATTAAACGTCAGGGCTGATATAAAAGCATAAAATACAATACAGCGTAGGCAGGTAGACGTCAAGCCGAGCAAAGGCGCCATCTTCCTGTCACAGCACATTGTTCCTTCAGTGGGCCAGTTTCAGTCATTGCAAACGTACTGTTTCTAAGGTTGGGGAAACCTGCAGTCAGCTGAGACTGAAGAAGTCACTTGGATGAGTGATGAAACTTTTCTCCCACTGAAAACTTTACATCCAGACGAACAAATTCAACCATTTGGGATCAGGAAGCTTGTCAGTGAATACCTCAGGCAGTAGAAACCTAAGAAAAAGGAGCAAGAGGAGGAACCATCATGAGAGGACAAGCCCTTGCACAATATGTACCAGATAGGATTTCTGGATGTCAGCCAATTCCTCTACCAGTGACTGGATAAAGCTGGACTGAAAGACAGCACAGAGGCACGAATCATGGCAGCACAGGAACAAGCTCTGAGCACAAGATCCATAGAGGCTGGGGTCTTTCACACAAGACAAGATCCCAGGTGCAGGCTATGTAAAGATGCCCCTGAGACAATCCAGCACATAACAGCAGGGTGCAAGATGCTAGCATAGTGTACAGAAACATCTGTGCCGAGTATGGTCTGGAAGTCCTGAGGTCAAAATGGGAGACGCCCATTGATGATAAACGTCTCCAATGATATTAAAACATGTTACTACAAAACATGTTAATATATTATCAAAATGGGAAAAATTAACATCCGAAAAGCAAATAAGATGCGACTGAAAGGTGTGGCACTATGTGCCGTGCATTGTGAATGATGCACACTGTTTGAAAACACATGACAACCACTTCAATAAAAGTTAACATTGAAAATATACCTTATCTGACAGTGGATCGTGGGGGCAGGAGCCTAAGCAGGGAACGCCAGACCTTCTCACCAGATACTTCTTCCAGCTTATCTGGGGAAATATTAAGGCATTCCCAGGCCATATAATTGATATATTCTTTCCAGTGGGTCCTGGGTCTACTCCGGGACCTCCTGCCGTTAGGATAGGCCCGGTCGAAACACCTTACCCAGGAGGCACACACCTCAGCTGGCTCCTTTTGATGTGAAGGAGCAGTGGCTCCACTCCTAACCCTTGCCAAATACTAATCTCCTCACCGTATTTCTAAATCCTAGCCACCTTTTGGACAAAGCTCATTTTCTGATCTAATTTTATTGCCTAAGCTCTTTACTGTGTTTTTTTACTTACTCATCAGTAAGTGTTTACTCTGATTATAGGTCAAGGGAGCTGAGGGCTGTTTTCCAAACTGACTTTTATAGAATAGGACTTAGCTTTTGCAACTACAATACTTCACAGGTGCTGACCATTAGAATAAATGTAAGTCTTGATTTTATTACAGGGCTGAGTCTATGCATTGGAAGGGCAACCATCTTTGACACAAAGCATTCGGCTCAACTCATTTTCCAACTCCAAATTAAGGAAACAAAAAACAAAACGTATATTTAAAAAGTACAAAAAAATCTTACAAATTATCCAAGACATATTATCACTGTTTTAGATTACAGAGGGAAAGGAGGAGACAAACTGAGATATTTTCTGCAAATGAAGAATCACAAAACTCAGAGACTAGGACAGTTGATTGTGAGGGCACAATAACTTCCCATTGTTTTGGAAGTTTTGAGCTGGGCCTTGCTTAAACGCTAGCTGCAAAAGCTGAAATGATGGTGGGTTGTTGTCGTTTTTTGTATTGTTGTTTTCAGGAATTTTACTTTGAAAACTTTTGCCCGGATGTGCCGTGGCTTTATTATTTCCGTGTTCTTAACTGGTGACAAATACAAGCTCCTAAAGTTGCGATGGTAAAAGACTAGTAGGGATGTGGTTGGTAATAAACCAAATGTTCTGGGGATTTAATGGTTTGAACCAGTATCCAGAGGGCAGTGGTAACCGTAACACTGTGACGTGGCAATTTTGCTGAAGACAGAGCAGGTTTTTTGGAGGCCTGGGGGTAAAGCTAGCAGTCAAGCTAACGATAAATATCCATTATGTCTTGGGAAGAATTGCCTTGCTTTCTGGCCTCGCCTCTGCCCGGTTTCTTTGCTGTCTGATCTGCGTTGGGCAAGAAAGGAAGCAGGTAACTTGAAACTCTACTGTCAATGCTGCGCGGGAGAAAAATATAAATTACTCAACACCAACGGGTTTACTGTAGCTTGTTAGCTTGTGGGCCATGGCGGACAGCTTTGGAGATGAGTCCAGCAGCAGTGCCCTAGGCTTAGACGTTACTACGGGACAGGGGAGCGGAGCCTCACAGCTTCCGATTTTGTCTAACTCTCTGCCGGTGGGAATGTCGGCAACTGGCGGTGTGCACTCCAGCTCCAACCCGACCTCTCCGCCTCTTGCTGTCGCCGCGCAGAGTGGCCTAACAGCTGTGGTGGCCCCTATGTCCGCTGTCACTGCTACCCCGGTCAGTTTTGGGAACACATTGACTCCCGGCTCTTCACCACCAGTCGTGGCCGTGTCTCCCACATTGCATGCCTCCTCGCCTCTCCCCGGTGTTGGGCTAGGGGCGGCAGGAGCGGGCCTCCTATCTCAAATCAATGCCACTTCCTGGGACCCAACTCTTAGCACGGATTGGGACAACGAAAAAGCTTCCCAGCAGTGCATCCTGAGGATAAAGAGGTAATTCTAGGAAACACAGAACTCTGACGGAGGTGGGCATATTTACGTAATCTAGACCTGCAATCGAAAGTGAAATCTTTCCGTAAAGTTTTTATCAGCATCTAAAACGTCACATTTGACGGAGACATTTGGGAAACTAGATGTCTGTAATAAGAAGCGAGATTTCGTCTGACCCAGGTAACTACAGGGTTAACCTTGGCTCTTCTGTTCACTATCTGTTTTCGGGTTAACTTCGTACCAGAATTTGTCGCCATGGTAATTTATGATGTGAATTTAACCTCCCCCAGAGCAGGTCAAGTTCGAGATTAGAGACCAGCAGGTGTTAAATCGTTGCCTTCTGAGGAATCTGTTATCGAGAAAATTTACCATTCCCTAGAAGGTCACACAGAGGGTCTGAAGTTGTTGTTGTTTTGTTTTAATAGCGTGTAAAGTCTTTGGCTTTCACTGATGACCATCAGTAATAAATATAGATTCTTAGATACAGCTTTATTCCATGGTTTTATTTTATTTTATTTTTTTTATGTTAGAAGCAGAGAGTTTTACAGCAATTTTATTGTTCTAGAAGGATTAATGATCTTAACACTACTTAAACTGCTCTGCTTCAAACCCTTCAACACCCCTGTGTCTGTAGCTGAAAGAATAAAAACTAAAACTTTCTGAAACCACCACATTTTCACTCAGTCTTTTATTTGTGACATGTTTTGCCGTTTTAAACTAAGCCTGGGTTTTTAAGTGGGGCTAGTTCAAAGTTTCAGAGCTCTAATGTGTAGCCATCACCTCAGAAATAAACACCAGCACTGAGAGTGCACTCAGTGATAAATAATTAACTGTAATTTAGAAGTTTATTTATAGGGCTTTGTGTGTTAAATAACCAGATTAATAATTTTCTGCAGCATTAACCATGTGTCTTCTTTGCAGTTGTTGGTTACTGGTATAATTTCAATGCTTTTTATATATTTTTGTTATCACAATTTTATCATCATCTAATAATATTGTTGATTGAATTGGTGGCATTTATAGGGATTGCTTTCTGTGGAATAAGAGTCATATGGCCTTTGAAACTCCTGTTTTAGATAAGATGTTGCCAACACCACCTGGTTTACACAAACATGCAGGGAAAACCTTGGCTTAACTTTGCAAGTTGATAACCTGATTTTTGAGACGGCTTATTGCGATTACCAATCTTACGGTAAACAAATCCAGAAAACTGAGAGATACCCTGGGTATGTTGAAATCCCTTTGAGCAGTATTTTAGACGGTAGTGCACTCAGTCTATGTTTAAAGATGTTGCTTTAGTTTGACCCACACATACATGAACACACTTCTTTGATTTTTAATATGTCATTAATTTGTTGCTTAATAAACAAAAATAAAGTTATTGAGGAATCACTTGACCCAAATTAATGAAATGTACTATTTCACTTAATTTACCTGTTTAAGCAGCTGGATAGCTTGAACATTCTTGTTTCCTTTGAGTCTTTTCCTGGAAATTCTAGTATCATGACAACTCTGGTAAATAATTCCTGTCTAATATATAAATGCAAACAGACTGCCAACATGTTGGTATCAGTCTGAATGAGTCTTTGTCACAAGTCGAGAGGACTCGACTCAGCTGGTTGTATGATGCAGTTTATCGCTGTTAATTGCTGTATTATCAGAAACACACTGCATGTAATTGCCAACTTGACTATGGTAGTTTGTTTTGTTTTTTTAATGACTGCGTTAGTATGCTCGAAAAATTCACATTAGAGCAACTTTAGAGTTCAGTACTGTACTTAAATGTATTTTTTATAATAGATTTCTGAAAATATTAAGATCCTTCACCTCCAGGACATACTGTTTTACTAGTGGATTGCTGGAATGTTTAGGGGCATATTTCTTTGTGGGTTCTCTCTCCAGTTTTCAGTGTTTCACAAACCTCATCTGTTTATTTTGTCTGTAGGGATATCATGTCCATCTACAAGGAACCTCCACCAGGGATGTTCGTGGTCCCTGATCCTCAGGACATGACCAAGGTAAAAGGCAAAGTACAGTCTGAAAGATTTACCAACCTTTGACATCATTAACATGTTAACTTGATAGCCAATCAGATTTCACTAGGCTTCTTATTCCTGGGCTTGATGCAAATCAGGATCAGCACTGGACTTCCTCTGGAGTACTGAAAGCACATTGAGACGACTGTTGTTGTGATTTGGCGCTGTATATAAAAAATAAAAAATGAAAGAAGTGGTATAGCTGTAAAAAGTGCAAAACAGCGAAGTGAAGAGTCCTTTAAACTGTGACTACCTCAGTGGTGTTTTCCATTCAACTGGAGTTGTACCGGTGATGACAGCAACCATTTACTAATGGAGAAAAACCTTTAGATCAGAGTCAAAAAAATTGATAATGACTCAGCACGAGTCATTTGTTTTCTAGATTAAATTTCTTTGCTAATTGGTCTGTTCTTTCCTAGCATTCCTCTCTGCCTATAGACATCGTTTTAGACCACCTTATCAATCCCCATCCTGTCTTTCTCTCATCCTTTAATCCCACTCCTGTGCCTCATGACTTCAGATCCATGCCCTGATCACAGGGCCATTTGACACGCCATATGAGGGTGGCTTCTTCCTCTTCCTGTTCCGCTGTCCCCCTGACTATCCAATTCATCCACCACGGGTCAAGCTCATCACCACTGGGCACAACACTGTCCGTTTCAATCCCAACTTCTACCGCAATGGCAAAGTATGCCTCAGCATCCTGGGGTGAGTCATGGTTTCTAACTTTAGTCTCCAAGGGAACTCATGAAGAATTACCATGTTCACTGCATACGTTTCTGTTCATCAGCTGGGCCATAAGCAGCCTATTTTTTAAAAAAAAAAGAAAAAGAAAAAAGGAAAAAGTCTGGGTCAACATATTCAATTTGCACTCTACATGGGATACAATTTTTTATTTATTTTTTTTTATTTTTTTTTTTAAAGATTGAGGAAAATAAGCAAAAATGCCCAAACAAAAACATTGCCCAATGCAGAGGTTATTTTTAGACCAGCTAGTGATCAGTGAGTAAACTAGCAAAACCTCGAATTAGTGTAAATAGTTAATACTCGATGTTCAAAGCAATATCTCAGAATGCCTTGTTTTGTCTAACTAGCAACCCAAAATCTAAAAAGAAAAGGAAAAACACTTAAAATACTTATTTGTAGGGATTGTTGTCTGTCGAATACTCGTACATTAGGCATGTGCTAGTCCAATATTATTGGTCAGACACTTGAGACAAAAAGCTGGATATTGTCTGTTTGTGACAGTGGACAAATCCTTGGTCTGAGCCATTAGATCATGGATGGGCAACTCCAGGCCTCGAGGGCCGGTGTCCTGCAGGTTTTAGATCTCACTCTGGGTCAACACACCTGAATCAAATGATTAGTTCACTACCAGGCCTCTAAAGAACTACAAAACATGTTGTGGACGTAATTTAGCCATTTGAATCAGCTGTGTTGGATCAAGGATACAGCTAAAACCTGCAGGACACCGGCCCTCGAGGCCTGGAGTTCCCCACCCCTGCATTAAATGGACTTTTTCTCTTTCTTTTAAAGTGTGACTGAAAACTGAAAAGATCCTACAAAGGAAATGCTTTCTCTCTCTCCCACTATTGGTCATGCAATTTCACTCTAATTATGTTCACCAGACGTGGTGAACATAATTAGAACACTGACCTTTACACATTAATAATAAAAAGAAATAGATCCTCACAGTGAGGAATACATGTTATTAATTTAAAACTAGTCAGATGTCCACGGTTTGTTTGTAAATATATGTTATCAAAAATTTACAACTTTATTTGTGATTCATAATTTTTAGGTCTTAAAATAAGTCATTTTACATCAATGATTTAGAGTTTTTTTTTTTTTTTAAATTATGCGAGAACCCATTGTATGCAACAACCCAATGCAACAAACTGTTTCTGTGATCTTTGCGTGTAGGACATGGACAGGGCCGGCATGGAGTCCAGCTCAGAGTATCTCATCTGTGCTCATCTCAATCCAGTCTCTGATGACGGAGAACCCCTATCACAATGAACCTGGCTTTGAACAGGTACAGTCAACAAAGAGATGTAGATATATGAGAGTTTTATGTCGCCACCAATCCATCACACCTTGTCATTCTGTTTCACAGGAGCGTCACCCAGGGGACAGTAAGAATTACAACGAGTGCATCCGCCATGAAACCATGAGAGTGGCTGTGTGTGACATGCTGGAGGGAAAAGTTCTTTGTCCTGAAGCTTTGTTGTGAGATCCTTATTTTTATTTTTCTTCTTTCTATTTTCCTTTATCACTTGCATTCCATCTTTGTTTTCTAGCTGTTAACTAGGGCTGCTCGATTATGGCAAAAATGATAATCACGATTATTTTCACTGAAATTGAGATCACGATTATTTGACGATATTTATTTAACCCTTTAAGACCTACTATAGAACCAAGTCCACCAGAGCTTATATTATTTTTTTACATGCTGTAGTGCCATTTGTGGGAGCATTTCAAGTTGCTATACATCAATACAACTGTTATAGCCCATATTTTAATAATATGTATGCATTAAGTCCATAGTAATTACATAAATTGCAAAAAAGTGCAATAAACTACAAAAAAAATTGAAAATCGCTTTTGTTTTGTTTACATATATTTCTACTTGGAGAAATTTAAGAGGTTTATCCCTCAAAACTTTAAATACAATAAAGTTGCAAAAAATAGTTTCCCACCACAGGAAATTTATTTTGAGTGTCTTCATAGTTTTATTTTGGAGATACAGCAATTTTTATATACTGCAGGAAAAACAAAAAACAATCCTATGATGCAAATTTGCAAAGAAAACAGCATGTGCATCATTTCACTGTGGGAAGTGTTACGAACAGCTGATAGGAACGGCAAAGCGTGTTTCTGGAATATTATGTTTTTGTTCCTGCAAGCGCTTTTTATGCAATTTTTGCAAAGCTATATGTGGAACGAAACCGTGACCGAGGACAAGCTGATGGCATCAGATGTAAGTACAACTCCTCCGGTTTCATATGCAAAACAAATTATTGCGCTAGCTTACACGGTTCAGGTTCTACAGGGATTTAAAAATAGTTACGCAAAACGGAGCGTGCTGCTCTGACCGGCTTTAAAGGGTTAACAATGACTTTAAAAAATAATATAAAATAGTGTGCAACACCACTGAAGTTTTTTTTTTTTTAAACTCTCTTTTCAACCAACGGCAGTCACTCTCCTCTCCAAATAACTTCTGCTTAGCTTTCCGAGCTTCCCTCGGGTCCTCTTAATCAGCGGTCTCCAACCTTTTTTGCGCCACGGACCGGTTTATGCCCGACAATATTTTCACGGACCGGCCTTTAAGGTGTCGCGGATAAATGAGGGAGGGGCTAATAATCGGCTTCTTCATTTTTAATGATCGTTGAAAGCCCAGATCGTAATCGTGATTAAAATTCGATTAATTGAGCAGCCCTACTGTTAACTAAATGTATCAAGCGTGTGAATGTGTTTATTTTTAGGAGTGTGATGGAGAAGTCCTTCCTTGAATACTATGATTTCTACGAGGGCGTTTGCAAAGAGAGATTGCATCTGCAGGGGCAGAACATGCAGGTGAGTATTTATTTTTTTCTGTTGGATTATTTTTGTCTAATCAAACAGTGCTTTCAGTATAAAATCATTCTTAATGTCAATAATGCAATATCACATGACTTTGTGACAGCACTGTGTGAGCCGGGAAAGTAAAGATTATAAATGGCAATCTTTTCCTCTTCCAAACATGACGTTGCCTTTTTCCAGGACCCATTTGGGGAGAAGCGTGGCCGTTTCGACTACCAGGGCTTGTTGGCTCGTCTCGGCGCAACCCACAGACGACTGCGAGAGAAAAACCTGGCAGAGGATAACCACAATGACAACGACTCGGACTCAGACACCAGCTCTTCAGGGACAGACCCCGACAGTCAGGGCAGCTCACAGCCCTGACTTCTTGGACAGTGCTAGACTTATAGCCGAAAACTAAAGACAAGAGAACTGTTTTTTTTTTTTGTGTATCTTTGTTTCTTTTGCTGCATCGGAGCAACATCACGGAAGACGATGTGAGTCTTTCTTGGGAATACGATTGGAATCGAGTATCTATTGTATAAATAATACAGAAAACTAAAGAAGAGGTGGTTCCTTTTTGCTGAAAATAATTTAAAAAAAAAAAAAACAGCAATCTGCAAGCCAAGTGCTGGAAAGCTTGACCTGCAGCTTTGGATTTGTGCTACTTGTAGCTAGCCAGTTACCATTTTGATCTGCGACTCTAAAAGCTCAATTTGACTTTGACATTCTGGATACTTGTGAAAAGAAAAGGTTATAGTGACGGCTTGAACCTTCTATGATGTTCCACTTTGATCCCCAAGCACAAACATGTTTTCTATCTTTTCCACACCAATGAAATACTGTCTGTTAGAGACCTGTGAAGAGGAGGCCTGAAGCTTGGAGCTGGTTTAAGCAAAATCAAAGGACCTTATCCTGGGAATGTCAGGATGATTGGCCTGATTTGGTTGAAGCAGGGTAAGATCAAAGAAGGTGCTCCCCGTCTTTGATTTCAAGAGGGAAGGCAAAGTTATCCTGTGTAACGCGGAAGATGGAGAAAGTGACTGCAGTGGATTTGTGAGTCAGTGCCTTGTCTCCTCTAAGTGTAAAGCCATGCCAGACCTCTTCCAGACTTGACATCAATTGTTTCTTCAGCCAGGCCACAAAAATTTAAAAAAAAAAAAAAAAATTCAGCAGCTCTGGATTTCTACAATATTTCTTGTGTATTAGCCTCTACAAAAAGTTCTGTTTAGCTTTCAGCTCTAATTGTCCTGTTGAATTGGTGCTTAGAGAAGGAGACATTTTAATTTCATTAACATCATTATGCCTTTTTATGTTATTTTTCTTTGCTGTAATCAGACATTAGACTAACAATACCTTAAAATATGTACGATGCATTATTTGTAATCCTAGCTGGGGTTTGGGTTTTTTTTTGTTTTTAATCAGTCAATTTTTCAAACCAAATTGTCTCACACTTTCACTAGATTAACTTTAATTCAGGGAAATTAATGGAAGGAATACAAAACTCTGTTCTTGTATGGACAGTGAATTAACCCAACCAGTTTGTTCTTCTCAGGCTTTTTCGATGCTTTGGTAGTTGTTTCTCCATTATCCAACCCTTGAAGGTAGCTGTCGCAGTGAACTAATATTCATTTGTTATTTCAGGTTTCTGCTTTTCACCAATAAATGACAGTCACGGCACCATTGGAGTTACACAATCACAAGGTACTAAAGTGACAGGTGTTGCTGCTTATGCTCTGAACTCAACGAGAGGGTTTTCTCTTGGGGAAACAAAGGGGCACAGAGAGAGGAGGAAAATGCTTGGTTGACATGCTGAGATTTTTCCTTCTGTCTTTATACAATACTCATATTTGCACTGAAAGAAATGTGTGTGTGGTGGCGGAAAAGCCTTCATTTCAGGACATCATTAGGTCAATGCAATGATGCTTCAGATGAGCACCTTCATCCTGGTAAACAGTTTATTGGTGTTTTTCTGTAGGCCATGTTTGTATCAGGACTTATACCCACATTACAACTTGGCAAGAAAACAAACTATTGTAACATTAACGATACCCAGTTGTTTTTCACTTCAATGACTGCAGCTTGTAATAGCTTCAGTTTAACTCTTTAAGATCTGCTCTGAAGAAGAGGAATGATATTGATATCCTTTGTCATTGTGCCTGCTGCATATAAGTTGATGGCACTAAAAAAAATAAAATGCGATTTTTGAAAGTTCTTTGAGTTGAATGAGAAGGTGCATTGTGCTCACAAGCTCTTAAGCTGTCCCATGAGTAAACTTGTGAAGTTGTTTTTCTGACTGTGGTAAATGTGTACTTTTACATCAACACGATTGCTATAAAGATGCTGTTTCATTTCATTGCTCAAATTCTTACCAAAACCTTTCCTTTGATAGCCATTTCCATTGTTCAATAAAGCAATATTTGCTTTAATCAAGTTTTTTTTTATTTTCTTTTTCCCAACGATACTGACCATCTTTGTCACTGTGGAGGCAGCAACTATTGGTTAAAATGTAATGTTATAGTTAAATTCCAATGTTAGGGTGAAATTCACATGCAATACATGAACATGCATTAATGTGTCAAACACAACACATCCACAAGAATTAAAAATCACTTACACTTAAGCCACCTGCAGCTTAGCTTAACGGAAAAGTTGCAAGTCACACTTTCTTTGAGTGGAGATGTAATGACTAAAAGGTTATCAGCACTTCTGTAACTAAAAAAAACTGTGTTTTCTAATTTAATTGCTACATAAACCTACATAAAATGTAGGTGGAACTATTTGTCACAATCAAGCTGCAGCCTTCAGGTTTTAAAAATGAACACAACTTGGAGCTGTGGCAAAGTGCTGGATTCTGTAGAAGCATGAAGTTAAGGGCATCTCTGAGGCATCACCTCTGCTAATGCTAGTCACTGGAGGCCTTGAGGCGACTTTTGTTGTGATTTGGCACTATATAAATAAAATTGAATTGAATTGGAACTTTCCCCTGCATTTGTCTTTTAGGGCTTGAAATTTAACTGACAAATAATATCACCTGCTTTGTGGGACAGGCCATCCAAGAAGTGGGTGTTTGAAATTCTAGTATTTTCTTTAAAACTTTGTTTTCTTGGGCTCTTATTTGGTACTAATAAGCATTGCACTTGCACAGGTTATGGATGCAGCTTGCTAAGCAGCTTGCTAGCTTTAATAATCTTATGCCCAAAACCAGTGGGTACCATCAGGGCAGCTGTGTCCACCTTTTATATGCAATGTATTCCCAACTGCATCTTACTGTCTGAGCAACTAAAATGTTGTGATTGGAATCCCCAAACCAGACTGCATTTGTACATTTTCGTAATACGGAATGGTGGTAGGTAGGATATTTAGCTTGTAATCATAAGGAAGAAAAAACAAGTTCACCCATTAAGAGAATATCTAACTTTCATAAAATCCATTCATGATTTATCTGGGCATTAATAGCTCTGAGTATACTGGATATGATATTGGGACAGAGCTATGCTACATGTTTCCTAGCTAACAGACATTCATGATCGAGTCTCATCATCAAGGAGAAAGAAAATCATATGGCCATTCTCTCATATTCATCTCTCTAGACTAAAACATTATAGTGTTTTGACTATCTTCTGCCTTCCATTGTCCTACAGAGTTTGTGTTTAATTGCAGTGTTGATGGAGTCAGTTTCTGCCCTCGGCTTTGTGTCAGACTCTTGTTTGATTGCCATAATGGCATTTCTAACATAGGGCATTCCTTTTTGTTATCGAATGGTTATGAGAAGCTGCTTCTAGCAAAGTTTTGTGATTGCCAAAATGTTCAATTCAACATGCCCTGAAAGGAACAACAGGGATTATATCCTTGTTTGCTTGTGCTGTGCTTAAAGTGTTTTTTGTGGTTCAAAAATGCCTGGATTCACAACAGGTCTTGAGCATGGTGATATTGTGCAGAAGTGTTGGAAAAGCATAGAATAAAGTGCTGTTCAGTCCTGATGCATATGACTGGTCTTTTTTGTTGTTGTTCCCTAAATTTGGTTTTATTTTATTGTTTTAATGAATGTGGTTAGATGTGAACTCCCTGTTTTCTTACATAACTCGAGTTTGGACTCCAACACCATCTTTTTTGTCAAGGAAAAACCAAATCACAGAAGTTCGTAAAAGTAAAGGAACTCCATAATGTCTTAGTTCATTCAAAGGTAGAACTATCCACTGAAAACACCTGTGTTTACTCGATTTTTTAACTTATTCTTTGCATATAGCCATAGATGTCCTGTGCAGGAAAGAATATTCAGGTATGAGTATGTTTCGTGTGAATAAAATAATGTTACCAGTCACTTTGCAATATTTCCTAACCTGTAAAAGGTAAAAAACATTTACAACATAAATATTGATGTGATGAATTCATACAAATGAAACTTCCAGAGCATCAAGGCTTGCAATCTCACAGAAACTGCCTTTTTTAAGGAATGTTCTTAGCAAATTACACCTATGAACTGATTTGCAGGTCTTGGGTAGCTCAGATGTTAGAACATTAGGTTGAATCTGAGGGTCCAGGATTAAAGTCTTTTGCAATGACTGTAGAAAACATGGGTGCCCAACATTTTTTATCACCCATTGGTTTCTGGCTGTACAGGTCACAAACTTTGCCTCCTCCATGTTTGCACATGTAACAAGAACTATAACGGTGCGTTCACACCAAACGCGATAGACACGACCAAAACGCGCCAGATGCCCCTAGCTTGACGCGTGCACATTCGCACCTCGATGCGCGTCCAACGCGAATTATTACAAGCGGAAATGTGGGAGGAAGTAGTGCCAGACGGTATGTTTGCAAGATGGCAGCTGTCGATCTAGCGTTGGAAGAGAGAGTCTCCCTTCTCTATTTACTGTGGAGAGCAGAGCAGCGGCGTAAAGGACGTCCTCGCCGTACCTGGGTCCATCAGGTCCTCCAGAAGCGTGAGCAGTTTGGTGAGTTTCACCACTTGCTCCTGGAGCTGCATCTGGACTTTCCCTCGCCCAATTTAAGGAACTGCTGTCCCGCGTCGGTCCAAGCATCGCCTGCCTAGACACCAACTACAGGCGCTCAATCCCACCTGCAGAGCACCTGTCCGTCTGCCTGAGGTTAGTAAAAGTGTTTAATACAGTAGTCCTTTATTGATGCCTGTGCTAATATATGTGAAACTATCCGTTTATACACTGAAAACATGGCTGTGGTATGCTATCAGTAAATGCCGTCGGTGTTTACTGATAGCAAACTGTGGTATGGAGACAACTGTTTATAATTTTTCTAGTGATACTCAGAAGGTCTCATCAAGTCCTGATTTAATTCGATTTATGCTGTTATCAGTGTTTGCAATGATAGCATGGCTGTGGTGTCATATCAATGTATTTTCTCTGTGTTTGCTGATATCAAACTGTGGTGTGAGGACCACTGTTGGTAATCTTTGTAGTGATACTGAGAAGGTCTATCTTATAAAGACATTAATTTTTTTTTATTTAGACCTGGTTTAATTCTGGTATAGAATCAGTTGAATATTTGTATATAATCCCTGCAGCTGTCAGACTCTATAACAGGGGTCACCAGCAGAGATGGGCAGTAACACGTTACTGTAATCTGATTACTTTTTCAAGTAACGAGTAAAGTAAGGGATTACTATTGCAAAAACGGTAATTAGATTACCGTTACTAACGCTGCGTTACTGCATTACTAAAACCGTGATTTTTTGCGAGAATGTCTCACGACAGTGACGTAAGCGAGTGCGCCGTTAGTGACAACAGCTGTGTGCAGATCAACAATGGATCACATATCGATTGTGGGAGAGAGTATGAGCGTGCAGCGTTTAAAGCGTGGAAGTACTGACTAAAAACATTAGCGTCCATCGTGCATGGGAAGAAAACTTCTTTTTACAGCGAAAAAAACCCTAAACTTCCAAGCAAGCACTGAGTGCGCTACCACGTAATGGGAAATTCATAGAGAAACTTGTGGATTCTTCAACTGACCGCAGCACACCTGCACCAGGGTAAACCTCCGCCTACCGCAGTCCTGCTTTACAGATGAAAATAGAGCAACAGGACCTCTGAGTCTTTGACTTTATTTATTTTCTGCTGTGTTTTACTTGCATCTATTTGAAAGACTGAGTGTAAACACAAAAAATATTTTATTTTATGTGCTGGAATGTGTAGAAAATAGGTTTAAATGTTAAACTAATTTATTCAAGTCAGAGGATGTTGCATATAATTAAATTTTTGCTTGATGCATAAAGTTAAAAGATTAAAACTGATAAAACAAGTTAAAAAAAGAGACTTTCCATTTGATTACATTTTGTATGATGGATTATGTAGAAAAAGTAGAATTGGGCTGAAAGATCTATCGCTTTATCACCTCTTCAGGTTGTAAATCGTGTTTTTAAAAAGTAACTAAGTAACTAAGCAATTAATTACTTTTGAAAATAAGTAATCAGTAAAGTAACGGGATTACTTTTTTGGGGAAGTAATCAGTAATTAGTTACTGATTTTTAGATGATTTGTGTTCCACTAGTGTTATTTGAATATGTGAGGTTTTTTCGTTTGTTTAAAACACCCCATTGCCTAGTGAGTTGTTTCACTAACGGTTTTCAGTTGTAGTAATAAACCTTCTGTTTTTCTTTTTATCTAACCCTCCTGCCTCTGGGCTCATTTATGTTATATCCTCTGTCGCCTAGCAGAGCCGGGCCGTAACAGTGTCGTACAGCTCCGGGTGGTCTGCAACCGCGTTTATTAGCCTTTCCTCCATATTGAATGAAGAATGAAGGGCTTTGGCTGGACCTGCCTCTTTGAACTAGGTCAGAGCCACGTCACCAGGCTCCTGATTGGTTGTCGCTGCGCGAATTGACGCTGGAGTTCAAATGTTTCCAACTCAAGCGGTAGATGCGATACGTGCGAATGCACAAAATTCACCACACAAACTGACGCGCATATTTTTATTCGCACGTTTTCGTGACGCAAATCTGCTTCTGAATTTTCGCGGGACCCCCAGTTGCGTGTCATCGCGCTTCTCCATTGACTTTACATGTAAACCTGACGCTTTGGTCACGTCTATCAGTGTGAACTGGGACTAGGACCACTTTTTTTTTTTCGAAACATGGGCATTGTTTCTTCTTCTTCTTCTTTTTTTTTAAATTTTATTTTCACTTGCTACACACAGGACAGACAAGGCTTGGGGAAAGAAAAACATCCAAAATGAAAACTGCAGTCGTGGTGCTTTCAATTGTACTCAGAACTCGGAAATTCTGCCTTCCGAGTAGGAAGATGTAGGTAACACTAGACTGCAGATGAACTGCATACAGGGCTGGACTGGGACAAAAAAATCGGCCCGGGCATTTTGATTAGAGACCGGCCCGCCATTATAGGAAAAATCATAAAGCCTTTGAATGAAAACAAATGCTGTTGTGACAGTGATGTACACTGTTTTGATGGTATATATGCCATCAAAAGTCTATCAATTGTTTGTTGTAAGATTCAGATAATTATTTTTTAAAAGCTAGACATTTTAAATGAGAATAAGAAAGAAAAGTATCTCTTTGTGCCCCCCTTTCCCTGTTAATGTCCTACCTGGCCCCCCTGGCAAAACTTTGCCAGACCCACCCCTTCTTGTTTTCAGTAGCAAGTGATGACCCGCCACAATATGAAACAGGAATGTAATCCATTTATTTCAACAAAGTAAATGTATTCTAAATACCACCTTTTTAAACGGTACCTATAACGGAATACAGTTAGTCATATTTAGTATTTTAAATACGTAACGGCGGTACATGTATTCCGTTACTCCCCAACACTGTATATAAGCCATGCTTTTTTTCTAAATACTGTAGCGGGTCAGGGCTGTTCGGGGTTTTGTTTTGACAGTTATGTTTTGTTGTTCTGTTGCCATGGTTACAGGTGACGCTCTCTCTGCGACTGTGTGTTTCCGGGTGAGAGAGCGCCTTTTTTTGTTGTTGTTGTGGTGTGCTGGTCTGCCTGTGTTAATAAACGGCTGTGCTCCCTGGCTAGCTCACGGGAAGCAAGACCAAACGATACCTCCGTCTCCTCCTTGTCTGAGCTCGCCACATTGGTGTCAGAAGTGGGATTGCTCACCCTCGCCGTAATGGAGAGAGACATTCGGAGGCTGGAGCAAGCATTCGAGGAGAGCATTCACTGCTTGGGAAGCTGGTGATTGAAGAGAGAGGAAGCGAGCGGCCATGTAAATCCCCCGACGGGGGACAGACGCTAGGGCAATGCTTCATGGGCTACCTCTGTCGACCCACACACCGTGCCCCCAACCGCGAGCAGTTATGCCTACCAAGCCAGCTAAGGTACCGGGCTATACAACGAGCTAACCCCGCTAGAGCCCTACCTCTCACAAGTCCGGCTAGCCGTGAGGCATAGTGGCTGGAGCGATGAAGAGGCTGCCACACACCTAGCACTAGCATTGGAAGGAGATGCACTGCCGGCAGAGCAGCATGAGCTCCAGGCCCTCACCATGGCACTCGA